TATACATAGTAGGGGTGTGCCAGAGGTTCCGACCACAATCACGATCACCGTGGTCTTTTCCATCAATATATACACTAATTTCGTGAAGTTTCCTACCTTATCGACATTTCCAATCTAATTTTTTAGCCTTCTAATTTTGCTCCCTTGGTGCGTAATATACTATTATTAAATATCTAACTATCTTTTTTCTGAGAAAAAGAGTAGTCGGCGCATATTCTTGATATTTCTAAGAATAATTAAAGCTTATTAGACTCAGAGAGATTTATTGAAAATTGAATGAGACGGACATAAAATGAGATGAGAAACGAACTATCCATGATCTACTGATTTTTCGCCTTTCTTCTTCAAACTACAAAGCGTCGTAAGGTAAAAGACCCAGTTATGAGACAGGTTTTTGATATGAGTCGCGTATTATAAGTGATTTTCGTCGTATAAACGGTGTATTATCCTAATTTTCAATCAAATAAGTAATATTTACTGTCAAAAAGTAAAAAAATATTTGAACTCTGACTTTTAAAGTGTTAGATATTAAAAATTATTTTATGTTCGTTGTTCACATGCTCTAGTTTATGGAACATTGATTTGTACTATGACCCGGTGTTCCATAAATTTGCCCCTATTTATGAGACATAAAAAAAATTGAATTAACATACTTATAATGTATATATTATGTTTATTAACATATTTTACATGAAATAATGCACAGTAATAAAGTATTTAATAGCTTGTTATGTATTTTACAACTAAGTAAATTAAAATAAATACTAATAATGGTAGGATCTAAAATACACAGGTAAATCTTGAATCTAAATATTAGACTTTGAATAAATAATTTAACGTTAAATGCCAATAAAAATATAAAAATAAAATCGTTAAGACTCTTTTTTGCATCAACAACTTTCTTTTCTTCTCTAGCAATTCCTTTTTTTTTTCAGCTTTTTTTCCTTGATTTCTTGCTGTCTTTCCTTCTCTAATTTTTCGGCATACTAAGCATCAGATGTTCCCGCAGAGGGTAATCTTGGTTTATTTAAGCCTTCTACCTTTATTCTCTTTTTTTTCGGTAAATATTTGGAAGGCAATGTAAATGCATTTTGAAAACTAGTGGTAATAGCATCTGTTAAAATATTTTATACATGTTATTGTTAATTATTTACATAAATACATTTATTATTAAAAATTGTTCATTTATTTACCATTTGACTTGGACCTATCTGGCTCAGAACTCAACAGTTCTTCGGATAAGTAATCATCTAAGTTTAATCGATGACTGTTATTCATACTTGAAGTCTTTTCTGTCTGAACACATTTTGAGATTTGTTTATCGTTGATGCAATCGACTGATTTTTTCTTCTTCTTAGAAAAAACATCGTATTCTATTGCCTGAGGATTAAATGGAACGAGACCTGCTGCTTTGAATCCACTGATAACAGTACTGCTTTCTTCTTTAAAATTATCAAGTGTGAATTTCAAAACTTTTGAAAAATTCTCTTTGTTGATAACATTATCATCATTTGAAGCTTTCCACAGAAGAACAGATTTCTTCCACGTTTGTTTTAGTGGATGAAAGTATGCAATGTCTAATGGCTGTGTTATGTGAGTTGAATTGGGATGGAGCGCAATCAACTCAATTTTGTTTTCTCGACAAAAAAAAACTAAAGGAAGTGTCATGTGAGACGAGTGCCCATCTAAATATATGACTACAGGAAACTCAATGCTCTCTTCTAGAAGCCATGGGTAGAAAACATTAGTAATGTACTCGTAAAAAGATTCAGTTGTCATCCATCCGTTATCTGAAATTCCGAGACCCCATCCAGAAGGGGTATTTTTGATAACTTTCGTGGGAATACTTCCTTTATACGAGTACATTACCATTGGTGGAGCTCGAACACCTGATGCACTGTACATGAAGAGAACTGTCAAACATTCTTTTTCTGAACTAACAATATTATAAACTGAGCGAGCTCCTTTTTCAGTCAATACTTTGTTGACACTTGGATTGAGTATTATGCTCGTCTCATCACAATTAAATATACTGCTTGGTGACATGTTTAATAAATTTTTGCTTTTTAAGTAATCCTCTTGTTCTCGGAACCATTCCTTCAAACTCTCTTGAGTCACAGAAGCTCTTGCTGCACTTAAGTTTTGAACAGTCCTAATGGACAAATTGGGATGTCGCCTACGAAAACCGTTGTACCAACTTCTTCCAGGTCGGTTGTTGATGAATACAGTCTCCCTGTCAAGGGATATCAAAAACTTTTGCACGCTATCAAGGAGTTCGTTTTTTGTTACTGGACAACCTCTTGCTGCTCTGTATAAAATCCAGTCAACTATTTTCTTTTCTTCTGTTTCCGATAAAATAGGAGGTGGTCCAGTCTTGCTTTGGTTTGGATTTTGCTTCTTTCTTGATAAAGTTGACACAGGTACGCCAAATGCTTTTGCAACTTTTCGAAGTGACATCCCAGAATCAGAGGCTTTAAGAGCATTTTTTAAATTAATTTCAGAATAATTTTTTCTTTTAATGGTTCCCTTTTTTTTCCTCTCTTGTTATTTTTCTTGATGACAACACCAGATTTGTTCACTTTTGAGATTTCACTTTTCAACACTTCATGATTGTCTAATTTTTTTCTGGTTTTCATCGTGCAACTTTCTCAATTTATTTTAAAGGAATCTGTTCTATATCATACCCTTTTTCTGAATCATACAAACAATCTAAAGAAAAAAATACAAATTTCTCGTTATAACTATTTTACGTAAGCTTCGCTTTATAGGTTAGAAGAACAATTTTCCCTCAAAATCAGCGTTGTTTTAATTACATTTATTTTCACGCATCAACAAAGTAACTTTAATATTTCTTCTTTATTAGTAAAAAAAAAGTTTCACAAGTGATTGTTTAAGTACGATAAACAACCGAAAAACTTATTGACAATCGCGTATGCTTGTTGTCTCGTAAAACGGTGCAATGCAAGTAAACACCTTAGCCTTAGTTTATGGAACACGCACTAGACTGTCTCATAAATAGGGACAACCCTGTCGACGGTGTATAGATTATGAAACACTCGAATATTTTTGAAAATTATTAAAAAATTAAATATATTTTTTTTTATTTACGTTCTAGGATTGTAATATTACAAACAACTAGTTTTTTACTATATCTGGAATGCTTTTGATTCTCTAATACGGTAGTTTATAATGGGCATGTGAACCTATACTATGGTACGAATGGAAGCCACTTATAGAAGAGACGCGGTGCACTTTTACTTTTTATTTTTTTTTTCAAATAAAAATCTTCGCAAGTTAGATTTAATTCTTACAGTTTTATTGTACCATACTTATAAATAAAAATAAATATTTCTACCGTAGATATATATAGACGAATGTTTTTAAAATTAAAGATTTGTGGTGGTGTCTCATAAATAGGGACAGTGTCTCATAACTGGGTCTTTTACCTTACTAAAATTAATTTCAAATTGTTTTATGATGTTTAAATAATATCAGCCAACCTTTTTATTCACGTAAAAAAGAGCAGAAAAAATTAACTTAGTAAGTAATGGTAATTAGTTAAAGATTGGAAGGGTAGAAGGTGATGATACATCCGATATAAACTCATTGGGAGAAATCGATAGGAAGTGACGTTATTTTTACATTAATTTTTATTTGATGATGCAGTTTATTAAAAATGAAAAGGATTGTTAATTCTTATGTTTTCGAATGTATAAAACCTGATTTTAGTGAGATTCATTATGGTTTGGAAACGAAAGACGAAAAATCGAATCACGCGTCGTTCTTTTGACATCTGATTTTACGTTTTTCACATCTAATTTTTAATGAATCTCGCCATGTCTAGGCTTAAGTTATATATTCCTCTTTTTCTCAGAAAGTAGTTATGTATTAATAAATAATGTTGTCGGGCTAAAAAATTATGTTGGCCATATCGATAAGATAGAAGACTTCAATTTTCTTCGGACTGCCCATACAGGGGCCAAAGGGGCCGTACCAGTACCATATATATGTGACTATTTTTCTATACGATCGGCCCATGTTACAACATAGGCCCGCGAAGCAAAAAAAAGTGTTATATGGCCCCTGTGCCCAGTTAGTAGAAAAATATTAACAATAACGTGTAAAATAGTCTTGACAATGAACTCGATCAGGAACATGGTTCTTTATTGCAAAATAATTATTTTTTTTGCATCTGTTTTTCGGTTACTGTCGATTATCTCGAAGTAACGGTATCACAGTTAACTTTCCAATCGAGGCATTGAGATTTTAAGAAAACATGAATAGTGCTCTTTTCGTCGAGACCTTCGATGCGTCGATACGATTCACACGCAGTGGTGTGGGTGGTGGGTAGATATCTTACCTAAGGTATGTTACCTTGTTTCTGACACGGTCGGAAACTGGTAAGATACCTCACAATGTTTCTGACATTTTTAATTTTTTAAGTACAGTAGTTTCCGCGCAAAAATCAGGGTATTCTAACCATTTCAAAAAATCAAAGCTAGTAAATCTTACAATCGACTCGCAGTTTGCATCGTTAAAAAAGTGAAAATGAAAAAAATAATATTTAACGAAATAAACCTTTTGCGCAAAAGGGCTATTGGCTCCGTGCATGAAGTTGGAGGAGAGGGCTGGCGCTGGCTGTCACTTTGACTCGGAGTTTTATGAAAACAGGGGTATGGTGTTGCCGGTGGCTGCCACCACGGGTACTATTTGCTTCCTTATGATTTAACATGAGTTAAGGGTATGAAATGAGGGCAACACGGTGTATGCACGGAGCCAATATTCTTACTAAATAGAAATATAAACAAAATAACTAAGTTTGGATTTGAGTGCGTAATTTAATTACTGACGTTGCTGACAGGTATGTGTCAAAAACCTCCGAGTCAAGTCGAAAACCCACCACTGGTTGGTTTTGGTTACATGAGAGGTGAGAGAGAGATAGATACATCTATAGCAGTGATGAAACTGTCTGCTATTGCTAGTCGCTGCTGCCCCAAGAGTCGAGTACAGTATGGGTTTGGAAAATTGGAACAGCTGTTAGTGAAAAAAATGTGAATAGCAGCCCTGTGGCGGCACCGCGCGCTCGCCCAATCTTTTGCACGACTGCTCTTTCTTCTGTAGCCTGTCTACCCAGTCCGAGGACTCCGAGATCGTCCATCATTTCGATGTGCCTGCTGCTGCTGTAGTTCCTGCTGCAGTCATTATCACTAATAGTTGGTCATCTATAGCTGCCAACCAGTCCAATGAAGTCCAGCTCGCAGTTATCTCAACATCATCACCATCAGCAGCAACACCAGCACCAGCACCCGTATCACCATCCCCAGCAGCGGCTACCAAAATCAAAGCAGCAACACCACCAGAAACAGCAGCATAAGGTCCCGACGGTAGTGAATAATGGCTTGGCCAGCTGCGATACTATATCCGAGAAGCTTGGCCTCGGCCCTGAAGTACGCGAGCTCAAGCTCGGGCCCACTTTTCTCAGCGATAAGACCTCCACTGCCTATCACACCATTAAGTGTAAGTAGTCAGTCAACAGCTGTGTCTAGTCCTTTTGCGCTACAAATTTTTGTAAGCTTATCTTTTTTATTATACCCTTCCATTTTTCCAGATGACTTCAAACCCGCTAGCGTGGACACCTCGAAGATGGCAACGGTAGACGTTGGAGATAACAATACGATGACTGTTACAGTGCCGCACTGGGATGGAGCTGGTGTCCCGCACACAGTATTCAAGGGCTCCCAGAAGCCCTACTCAAAGGAGTGCGTTCTGATAATCGACAATGTCACGGGTGAGATTATCCTCGAGAGGTTGTCCTGTAATATACAAGTAAAAAAAACCAGGTAAATTCAACTCGGGGGAGGGGCTATTTTCTCCTATCTTTTCTTGTTTCTCTTTTCTCTTTCTTAACTCTCTGTCTGTGCTATAATTAAAATAAGTCTTAGACAGTACCTGCATTGTCTCTTCTGCTAGCTTTCTATTTTTTCACCCCCTATAGGTACACAAATTTTCGATTTAATTATCAATGTTAATTTCAAGGTGTGAAACTAAAACACCGTCGCTCTTGTCGCTTAATTCACATCAAGGAATTCGACCCATAACACCAATTGACGCAAGGAAAAGCCCTACCATTGGAAGAACAAAAAGTAGAACTAAAGTTACTAGTGGGAAGAGAAAAGAGCCAAGTTACCAATTACATTCTAAGCGTAGTCCTCAACAAGCCTCTTCTCATCAAAAAAGTCCTTCAGTGAAATCACCTTGTAGTAACAATATGAATTGTAGCATTAGGTAAGTTTTATTCTTATTTCATCTCATTAAATATTAACGTTAATTTGAAATGGCTTTGTAGTTATCAGCGAATTTTTATTAAATTTTTCTTTTTAACTTAAGAAATAACATTGTATTTGAGTCAAATATTAGGCAACAAATTAAGAGATGTTCATAAAAGCTGCTAGTTGTTATTTTTCTATTCCTTTGGAAATCATTCACACTGTGACTTGAGAAGTCTAGCAAAAAAAAAATTTGGATTACATGGAACATGATGATTTCAGTTGTTCAGCCATGCCTTCTTCAAGTCAATCGTTAGCAAGCCTTCCCGTTATCAATGAAAACGATGATTTCTCGTTGATAGTGCCCACATTGGCCCCAACTGCAACGCTGTCGTCGTCGTTGTCGTCATTATCCTCAACATCCATATTAACTACGTCACACTCGACAGCCCCTCCAAGAACCAGGTTCCCGGTGATAAGTGAGAAGCCCCCTGTAAAGGTACCCCTTGAAAACAATGTAGTGGGCATTCTCAGTGATTCCAGTTCTAGTGATTCGAGCCCTAACAGCTCTGAAAGCGAGTCGGAAGCCGAAAAGTCTTCAACTTTGAAAGTCAATGGTACTAATTGTTCGTTAAATTTATCATTATTATTTTTTGTTGAATTTTCACGCAAAAATCTTATGAGAAAAATTTTTTTCACAAAAGTGGACCAATGACTATTAATTATTACCAGGAATGTCTTTCTTTTTTTCATCTTGAATTTATCATTTTTTTTTATTTTAGGGCACGCAGCAAACGGCGCAAAGATATCTCCACCATTGTCCATGCCAGATGTCTTACTGAATGAAGACTTGCAACTATCGGAGTCAGAGTCGGATAGCGATTGATCCAAAATCATTAATGGTACCACATTCCGAAAGACTTTGTAAATTGAATAAAAACGAAATTTAGATTTACTTTTTTAAAGACAAGTTAAGACAAAGAGAAAAAAAGAAATACGAGTATAATTGGAATATTCGTTTTTTTATTCATTGTTGGATGCGTAATGTAAAATGTCTTTACAAGTGTCTTTCAAAATGAAGTATCTGCTATTGTTGTATTCCATGGCGTCAAGCAGCAATGACCATGTTAGCCTTCAATTAGTACTCGACTAGTGATATTTTCATTTATTGCTGCAACCTCGACCGCTGAGCTGGCATCGAGACCGCGCAATCTAAGCCATAATGCTTTCTTTTATAATCTTACAATAAATATTAATGATACTAATAAGATATATATGTATGTGTAAAACTATATGATTTTAACAGAAGTAAAGAGAAGCAAAGCGGAAAAAAGAATGGTCGTACTTTCCATTGTACGACGGCCGACGCGCACTTTAGTTGTTATTGTAGCAATGATTGATGTAGCCTATCTTTCTTTTGTTGAATAAGTATGTCCTAATATCTATACGCTTGGTGATACCATGCTAAAAGTGGAAAGGTATCAGGGATTTTGTAGTAGTTAACTTTCTTTTAAACTCAACGAGCTCTACAATTTAACCATCGTCAAATCTTGTGCGAGCTGAACCTTCAAATTAATAAATAAGTAAAAGAAATAATGTCTTGCCAATTGCATATGTTTGTAATTTGTTAGCAGGGTACTTGAATAATATAGTTTAACCGAAAAAATCTAGTATTTTTATACTCTTTATTTTTAATAAAAAATGAAAATAATACAAGACTAATAAATGTGACACAATTGTTTGCGAAATATTTTATTTTAAAAAAGAAATAATTGAATTTGTCGTTGCTTTTTGCTTTTACATCAACCTTTATGACTATCTTTGATGGGAAATTTTGTACATAGATGAATGAATTTACTTTACAAACCTTGCAATAAATATACTTTATTATAAAATTAAGGGGATATATTTGTACATATTTACAAGCTATTTGTTTTACCGAAATTGTTAAGAAAGTATGAATTAATACATTTCTTTTCCTTCTCTATCTATAAATGTAATCTTCTTCTTCAGTTTAAACAAACTTTCCCTCTTTTTCAATATTTCTCTCGCTGTCTGCAACAGTAACTACATATTTTTACACATTTGTATGTATAAACTTGAAATATAATTTACAAATACTATTAATTAATATATACTTATTTACACTAAATTATTTTTGATATAAGTTACCTAATACTCATTTATTATACACACTTCAACAAAAGTTACTATTATCTGTCTTATTATTATGACTAAATTTGGTCTTCTTCACTCGAACGCAGTTTTAAAAGTCTCTTACTTCATGTTCATACACTAACAAATATTTAAAAAAATCAATGATACTGCTCTTGATAATTTAATATCAATCTTGCTAACTGGCCGCGATTTCCAAGTTGTAGGCTTTTACGCTTTAAGCACATGCTTTGAGATAAATTATTTTTTGTGCCATTACAAGAGACGTCTCTGTAGAAAAGCTTTAAGGCTGGTTCAGTGGCGCGAAACGTGTTTAGCTTGCCATGGACGGCAAACATGTCAAAAATCGAGTTTATGGGGACACTTTGTGATAATTTTAACATACTTGCGATATCCTTGTCAGTTTGCACAAGAGGTATTTGATTCTTAATGGATTTTCGCACTGAAATGTACAAAAATAATAAAACAGTTTTCTGTAAATACAGTAAATTTTTATAATCACTTTTATATGCTTGTATACCTGTAGCGTAATCTCTTGCATAGAACGATACGAAATCGTAATTATACTCGTCAAATCGACCATTACTATGAATAATATCAAACATCACGTGATTTTTCTCACCATATTGAATGATACTTGGATTGTATTGCACAAAAGGAATTGGACTAAAAACTTGCCATTGGTTGATTGTGTTCATGCGTACCTATAAAATTACAAAATCGTATTAGATTTGTTTGAGGCTTCAGCTCAAAAGACCTCCAAGGATATATTTATACCACTAAGCCTTTAACAAATTTATTGACCGTCAAAGTCCAATCTTACAAGCCAACAATCAAGTAAACTAAGCAAAATCTTACTCTGTTTAAAAATTCAACTTTTATTTCCATCCTTGAGTCAGCTAACAGAATAAGATTATCTGATGTCAATTTGTTAATATACAAATCAGCAATAGCAATTTTCAAAGAGGACTCAGTTTCTACAAAATTAGTAACAGTAGGCAGCCGAATCGAGAACCATGTAACTTTTAGTTGGTCTTTTTTATACTTATGAGTCAGATATAAGACGCGTTGTTTAACTGTATAAAAGATGTCGTTGCTTCCTTTCGATACATGTCCAGGATTGTACAACAAAATCTTGAAACAAATGCAAATTTTGAAAATATTAGTAAGCATAAATTAGGATTTTTAATAATAGTATAATTTAACAAAAACTTTTACAATCGTCAATGAAGTTTTATCTTTTCTGTCCATACAGACATTTGCATAATGTGCTAAAAATCGGATAGCTTCCGTGATTCTTCGGAAATCGACTATAATAACCATATTTATTCTTGAATTTTCTGTTACATATGGTGCTGGCAATATTTCAACTTTACCTACTGGTTGGCAAGCTTGTATTCTAATGCTAATTTCTCTTTCTTCATTGGTTAAGAAACTAAGATCAAGCAGATAATCAACTCCTCTTGCGTTATCCAATTTCCAGTAACCATTTTCTAAGTTGGTGAATACTAATTTTTGCTCAGAATTTTTAAGAAACGTTTTTACTGTTGTATTAATGATTTCTTCAACTTCATTTTTTTCTCTACTACTGAATTCCTCGACAACTCCAAAATCATCATCATAGAATGAATGAGTCATGTTAAAATATGTCCATTTCAATACATCAAAACGATTTGCCGTTTTAAATTTTGGTTGACTACCAATAGGCCAAGTGAGATCAATGTCGGCTGTAAAATTTGCTGTTCTTGATATTTCTGCATGGAGTCCTCCAATTTTTCTTCCTACATCGAGAAGTTCCATCTAAACAAAGAGCAATTAAATCAATGTTATTAAAAATTTCTTGCAATTATCAAGATACAGATGGACTATGCTACAAGACCGATATATTTCAAAAGCTTACAGCTTTTTAAGATATTTTTATGTACAACCTACACTGTTTCTGCCTACCCGATTAGAAATTGAAAACTAGCGACAGCTTGGCCCAAGTCAAGATGCCCAGTTAGCCAACGCAAAAAAAATTTGTACCGTAAGAGTCCAGGGGTCCAGCTTAAGGTTCGGGAGAAAAGTTCAAAATGGAGAAATGTGACAGAAAAAATGTATGTTACATTTGAGCATGTTAAGAAAGCACATGAATTTTTTCAGATTTTTCACCACGGGAAATTTTCAAGAAAAAAATTATGAAATATTGACAGTTCAACACGGTCTCTTATGAGAGAGCAAGGTTAGGTTTGCCTTTTAATTGAAATTAAGGTATATTCTAAGTGTGTTGGAAGAAAGCACATGAATTTTTTCAGATTTTTCACCACGGGAAATTTTCAAGAAAAAAATTATGAAATATTGACAGTTCAACATGGTCTCTTATGAGAGAGCAAGGTTAGGTTTGCCTTTTAATTAAAATTAGGGTATATTCTAAATGTGATGGAATAAAAAAAACGTTTCTATAGATAACTTGGTATACAAGAAAGATGCTCGACAAAAAAAATCGAGCCTTGCCAGGCATTTTCCAAAAATATAAGCAGTTACAGTCGTATAGTTTCTCGAGTGCAAGAGGTGGTGCGCTGTAAGGGTGCTCAGGTGCGCGGGCAAGGGGACCAACGCTAACCCAGCCAGCAGAAAATTAAAAATTAAATAAACAAATGTATCTAATTGACGTTTTAAAAACTGCTTTTTCGAAAATGCAAGTAACAAAATAGGCTCCCTTTTATTTATTTAGTTAACGCAAATTAAAGTGCCCTGTGAGAGGCGACACTTCGCAAGTCAATATCTCAGTTAATAAACAATATTTCGTAATGTCTCTTGTTGTAAAAAACTGCTCTCTTCATCAACAAAATTACTCTATCATTACATCCTTACCATGATCTATTTACCATTGAGAAAAATCGATTTGTGATGTTGCTGTAAATCATGTAGTTTCTAGGGGATTTTTGCGTTTCATCAGTTGGCTGCATCTACTGGCATTTATATGTGTATACTCTATACTCGACTGCTGCGCGCGCGCGCGCGTGCTGGGGTCTGATCGGGACATTCGATATTTCGCAAAAGTAAGCATTATTTTCGATAATCCCTATAAAATAACCAAAAATAACGAAAATGCGCATGCGCAGTTTAGGAATTATCGCCGATAATCGACAAAAATGCTTACTTTTGCGAGATATCGAATGCCCCGGTCAGACCCCTGCTGTAGCAGACAGCAGACGACATGAAGATAACAAAATACAATTTGTTTATATTATTATTTATTTCATACTCCGCCCCTTTCGGGATTGGAGGGGTTCCGTTACACATTTACATTCTTTTTACATAATAATTTAATAATTTTTATATTATCTTATATTATCTCCATTTCTATTTGCACTTATTTCAAATTCTACTTTACCTTTAAATTATGTAATCATTCATAAAAACAAACAAGATCATTATATAACCTTCAAAAATTCACAAATTTGAAATAAGAAAAAAAAAAAAAAACAATTATTCAAAAAATTCAAAAATTCAAGAATTGAACTATTAATCTCCTCTCTTAAATTTATCCTTTTAATTTCTTTCATTCTTCATTATTCACTGCACTCTCTTTTTCTTCTCTTCTTCCTTGTCCTGCAATTCATCCATTTCTCTTCTTTACTATAAACTTTCTTCATTCTTATCATCTTTTATTTATTTTCTGCTTCCTTTCATTTTTCGGATAACACGTCTTAGTGACTATCTCTTTTGCATCATGGCTAAGTAGTTTCTCTATTTCTTCCTCATTTCCCGTATCTCTACAATTTTTTAATTTGTGTCTATAATCTTCTTCTTCTTTTTTGCACAATTTGCACTTCTTGTCCTCTTCTCCTTTCCAATACTCTCTACCCCTACATTCATTTCCGCACCTAACTCTTGCTACTAGTTTCCTATCCTTTAATGGCATATGCTTTTTCAAATATCTTGGTTCTTCCTCTGTTCTTATATCTTTATATACCTTGTTGTACCGATAATTCTTTAAATTTTCCGTTCTCGTTTTTTTTTCTTTTCTTTCCTTGTTCTTTAATATTTTTTCTCTTACTTCTTTATATTCCACCCCTTTCATAAATCTTGTTTCTTTTATATTTTCTTCACGTAACATTTCCGCTCTTTTTTTTGATTCTTTTCCTATTTTTCATCTTTTTTTGTCCTAATCCTTTTCTCTTACACATTCCTTAATTAATTTTATGTCTGAATCCCTAATTTTCTCTTCAAATTTTAACGCTCTCCTACGCGCCTTTATACTCATCTTTTCTAATCTACACTCCTCCACTATATAATTTGGCGTATTGCTATCTAGCCCTAATATCCATTTCATATATCTTCTTTGTACACTTTCCAGCCTTCCTTCTTCTTCCCAACCCCATACTTCTGCACCAAACGACGCTATACTTTCCACTAGTGCTGTAAATAATTTCCTTCTTCTATGGTAGCTATTCTTAAATATTCTTTCACTTACGCTCCATGCATTTTTCATGGCAATCACTGATTTCCTCTTTCGTTCTTCTATATGTCTATCATTCCTCTCATTTTTCTGTAGTATATATCCTAAATACCTTATTTCATCTACTCCTTCTAATTCCTTATTTACCCACTTCCATCTTATATTTTTTCCCTTTCTTTTTTCAAATACTAATATTTTTGTTTTTTTCTCACTCAAAATCATTTTCTTTTTACAGGTGTACCTCTTAAATCTTTTTAGCATCTTTTTTAATTCTTCTTCTCTATCTGCTATTAATACTATATCATCCGCGTAAGACACACTCCATATTTTTTCATTACCAACTCTGCATCTTTCCACTTGCCCTCTCTTAAATTCCTCATCCAAGTCCGCTAGATATATATTAAACAGCGTTGGGCTCAGTGGACATCCTTGCCTCACACCCTTCTCTCTATCCAGAATTTCTGTGATTCCTCCTCACCTACTTTGATTACATTCCTAGTTTCTTTATAGATATCCATAATCCTATTTCTTAGCTTTTCGTTCACCTTTATCTCTATTAATCTTTCCTTTAAAACCTGTCTATCCACTCTATCAAATGCTTTCTTTAAATCAATGAAACAGGCAAATAATTTTCCTCTTGCTTTGCTCAATTTTTCATCCACAATGTGTTTCAGTGTGTTTGTCGCTTTTATTACTCCTCTCTTTTCTCTAAATCCAAACTGACTTTCTGCTAATTTACCTTCAATTTCCTTCTTCAACATCTCATTCAACAAACTTGCATAAATTTGTATGCTGTGCACGTTAATGTAACTCCTCTATAAGTTTCTAACTTATCTTTATCACCTTTTTTTTAAATCAGGCATATCACTCCTCATTTCCATTGCTCTGGTAATTCTTCTTCTTCCCATATTTTCTTGACCAGTTCCCAAAGGGCTGCGTTTACTTTGCTAGGCATGTACTTCCATACTTCGTTTTTTAGTTTATCTTCTCCCGGTGCTTTTCCTATTTTTAACCTTGCAATCTGTCTCTCGAATTCTTCCTTGCTCAACTTTTCCTAATCCTCTGTATTTTTCCTTCCTTTTTCTTTCCTTGTATCTTCTCTCCCGATTTCTTCTTCATCCTTCCCACGTAACTTTTTCATAAAGTACCTTCTCCACTCTTCCACTGTAATCTTTTTATCTATTTCATTCCTTCGTTTTTTTCTGAACCTATTCAAGTACTTCCACACTTTACCTTCCGGTGTTGTGTTTTTCATTTTTTCTTCTTCTAATCTTTCAAACCTTTTCCTTTTTGCTTCGCACCAGTTTCTGTACTATCTTTTTTTATCTATATAATAACTCCTTTCTATTTTCTTCTTTCTCCGCATCTTCATTAATCTTCTTAAATCTCTCTTTTTCTCTTTCCATTCTTTATCGTACCATTTTCTATCTCCCGATTTCCACACTTTTAACTGTTTTTCTACCTTAGGTACCACACTCTCTATTCTTTCTTTCAGTTCCTTCCATCTTCCTTCCACCTCTTCTTCTTTCCACTTCCAGTCCTTACATCCTTCTCCATACTGATCGATCAATTCTTGAGTCCCATCCCTCCTTGCTGTTATTTAGTTATTCTCTCTTCTTTTTCTATAACTCCTACTTTTACTTCCTTTTCTAAGTACACATCCAACGGCAAATGATCCAATTCCGTTTGTTGTCTTATCTTCATTTCTTTTACCTGATGTAAGGCTTCTTGATTCCCAATTGCATAATCTATTACAGATTCCCCTCTGCTGCCAACGTATGTGAATTCTCGTTCTTCTCCTTTTTGCCCATTTCTTATGCCCATCCTTCTTCTGTTGTTTCTTTTATTAGTCTTCTCCCTTCCTCATTTATCTTCTCGTCTTTTGACTTTCTTACTTTTATTTCCTTGTTGTCATCCATTTCATTAATCCATCCTCCTCTCCCGGTTCTGGCATTCTAATCTCCCAGTATTAGTACACTTCCTCTTTCCTTCGTTTTTACTTTCTCTTTTATAATTCCCATCGTCTCTTCTAAATTTGGACTTTATACTCCTACGATTTTCCACTCCTGATTTCCGTATTTTATCTTTTGCATTATTATGTTATCGCTCCATATTTCGTAATTTCTGCTTTCCATCTTTTTACTTATCCCTAATATTATTCCTCCTTTCGCTCTACCTTTTTTAAGCTCTCGTGTCGCTGCTATACACTTCCACTCAAAACTTTTTGACAACTCACTTTCGACACTAGTCCATTTGTCCTGTTCTAACCACGTTTCTACTAACACTATTATACCAAAACCACTCAAGTACTTCCACACTTCACTGCCCTTATTTAACACTCCCGCAACATTCCACACACAAATACTGACATTCCTTCTTCTCACTCCCTCCTCCTCTCTATCTTCTTGTTCTCTTCATTTTTGCCTCCTGCTTCTTGCTTCAGTTAACTCTTCTTTCCATTTATTATACCTGAACCACTTACCGTCGACCATCATCTTCATATACCCAATTTTTGTATTTTTTCCTTTACTCCTCTGCTCTTTTGACTTGTTTAAAATAGTTCTTTGAATCTCTC